GCGGCGGGAGGGATACTTCAGGGACAGGTTCCTTCCCCCCCACCCCCCCTTCTACACCCCTAAGACGGACGAGCTGAAGGATGTGTGGATGGGCTGGAGGGTGAAGGAATTAAACTGGAGATCCTATTTTCTCTGTGGTTGCAATAGTGGCGGTGTACTTGTGTAATATCTCATTATATCTTTTCAGCAGTGTAAGGCCCGCCTTGCAATTGGCAGTCCCGGCTCCGCCTCACCCTGTCTTATCCGGCACCTCGAACGCGACTGTACAGCAAGCCATGGAAGCTTTAGGACATAAATCTCATCATATGTATGTATGTATGTATGTATCCGACAGCTAGTCGTGCTGCTGCTGACAGTGACACGGAACCGTCCGCCCCGCGCTCTTCGTCGCCCTGATGGACCGCTTCGGGGACTTCGTCTCCCAGACTGGCTGCCGTACAGGCCGAGCTGGATCTGGTTCGCGAGCAGCTGGGCCACCAGGGGGCTAAGGTTACGGATCTCGCCCGGCAGGCGGAAGCTGTACGGCAGCGGAAGGAGCTGTTGGAGGTGAATAGGGGAGCAGGGGCGGGTGCGAGGTGTGTCTGTCGGGAGGGTGTTTCGTCGCCCGAGTGCTAGATAGGATCCAGCCCCCCTCACCTCGCTCAAGGTGGGAGAGGTGGGAGGGGAGGAGTTGCCGATCCGCCTATATCAATGCCCTTCTCGCCCCTAGCCCCGCCTCCTCCTCCCAAGTCCCCTTCCGCTGTGCCGTGCCGCCTCTCCCCGTCTTTCCCCCCATCTCCCCCCACCTCCCCCCGCCCCGTCAGGCCACTTTGGGTCCTTTGGAGCAGGAGGTTGAGAAGCTGGAGGTGCTCATGGCGGGCGTGATGGAGCTCCGGGGTTGACAGGGGTGGGGCGCAGCAGAGGGGCTGCAGGGGCGGGGAACGTTTACCTGTACCTGCGAACAATGCGAGTTATCGGTTGCCGCCGCCGCTGCTGCTGCTGCTGCTTTTGCATGTAGTATGCATTATGTGAATATGTGTGTCTGTGTATTTGGAATCCTCATCTGTATTCATGCATGGCTTGCGGCTGGCGCGTGCGTGCGTGTGTGTCTGTGTGTGTGTGGTGTTTGTTGTGTGTGTGTGTGTGTGTGTGTGTCAGTGTGTGTGTGTGTGTCAGTGTGTGTGTGCGTTTGCGGCTGCGGGCATTCACATACAGGTGCTAGGCATGTAACAGAATAGACATCCACTTAACCTAGGTGCGAGAACATATCGTCGGGTGAGAAGCTGCGGGCGAGTGAGCGAATGAAGCTGGAATAGTTAGTGATTAAGAAAATCTAGTTTTGAGTGCGACCGATACCGATACGGAGAAAAGTCCTCCTCGGCTTTTTGACTGGGGGGCCGGGGGCTTGGGGTTCTTCTCCTCCTAAGCGCCAGTGGAGAGACGTAGAGGGTAGGACAAACTGTCGGGCAGAGCAATTCTTTTGACTGCCCCGGTCGCACAATTCCCGTGCTTCCCTAATTCGACACCCTGAACACGCTAATTCTGACTGTCCGAATGTCCCTGCCAGGCCAATTCGACACCCTGTCAGCCTAATTCTGACTGTCGGAATGTCCCGCCAGGCTAATTCGTATCCCTGTCAGGCTAATTCTGACTGTCGGAATGTCCCTGCCAGGCCAATTCATATCCCTGTCAGGCCAATTCAAGGGCCTGTCCCGGC